GTTAAGTAGGTATTTATATATTTTTACTCAAAATAATCATAAGTTGTATATTATATTTTTTTAATATATAAATTATTTAAATATAATTTTTTTAAATAAACTCATATAAATCATTCAAATTTTATTATAGCAGTTGTATTTATTAATAATAAAAAACAATAGATCATTATTCATTAAGTTACATGTGAGTTAGGTTTCTACATAATACGTAATATGTATATGTATGATAATTGATAACCATTACCTATGTGAAAAGTTTGGTGATATGTGACACCAGCCTAAAAGTTTAAAATCAACAATAATTGTTTCAATAAATAATACCAACCAGTATAATAACCAGTTATTATGATTTATATTTCATATATTTTAATCATACATTCATTAATGCCAATCACTAAAACGTATTTTTGTTGGAAATAGTACCTTATGTCGTAATGACACAATTAAGTACGGTAATTCTTGAAAAATTATGATGGCAAGTATGATTATTGATTGCGCACGTATACCTTACAAACTTATAATAGTTATAAATTTAAATCAGTTTAGTCATCAATACTATATAAGTGCAGACTATTAGTCTAAATATGTGTATGAATATAAAATAGGTAGGTAGTATAGGTACTAGATAGTAAGTTTAGATCATAAAAATTATTATAAATTGTAATAATATTTAAATATTTGATTATGYTCGATAGGTATAAAAATATTTTTCAAACTTTTGCCAAGCGTTAACGGTGGATGCTTTTAACTTTTGATGTACATTGTATTGTATACAGTTTTTTAATAACGTATACCAAAACAACAATAATTAGATTTTAAACCATTTAATTATTTGAAAACCTCCACGCACAGGTTGCAAATTCAATTATTAACTTGTTTGGCAGCATATAGGTATTGTCTATGGCTTAATTAACGACGTTTTTATTTTATATAGATACTATTTAATTATGTACCTTATTTATCAAAGAAACGATTGGTATTGGTAACAATATTATTTATAAATTTAGCCTCTGGAAAAAAATGTCTCAGGTTTGTGAGCAGTGAGCGCTTATATAATACTACCAATCCAAATACTATATACGACAACACAGGACGCTTTAGTCTTTTAACACTTACTACAATAAAACCTTAYAGAAACCGATCTTATCAATTCCCCTCGAGATTTCTTWAAAAATTGCCTAATTTTACTTCTTAAATAATGATCATAATTCCCGTCGTTTTTAAATAACAACATAAGTTAAAAACATAAAATATTAATCAATAATCATAATTCATGTACAT